GGAAAAGATGCTGAAGTGCTTAAGTGCTAGTAAAATGATCAGCCTTTGTGCAGTAATTGATTTGATAGTGGTTGAACGTCTTAGAAAATAAGTGGTCTACACAAAGGTTTTCTTCTTCAATTAACACAGCACCAGCAGTAGTACCACTAGCATCCATCTCAGGCTTGAATGATCTAGTGAAATCAGGCGCAGAGGGAACTGAAGCACTGCACAGCAAACTTTTGATTGTATCAGAAGCAGCTTGACAATTAGAGGACCACACAAAAAGTACAGTGTCACCGAGAAGGTTTGTTAGAGGTAAAATAACATTTCAAAAATTCCTACAGAAGCTTCTGTAGTATCTAGGCTCTCAAAGGAAGCGTAAATCTCTCCTTTAGCCTCGGTTTTGGTTTCCAAAAGGCAAATCCTGTATCCCCAAATATGTCACAGAGTCATGACTAAACTCACATTGAACAAGGTGTAGGACCAGAGAAGCTTCTTGGCGATGTGAAAACAAAGCATAAGGCATCGCGGTGACTTAGTCAAACGTCACTCTTACAGTTGTTTATTCCGATAACATCCAGGTAAGCTTTACGATTATCAAAACTAATTAGGACTCGATTCATTAAGCTTTGGAATGTAGTGGGTGCATTTTTTAAACCAAAGGTCATAAGTTTATGCTGTACAATCAACCTGGGGTGGCAAAACTTGAGATTTCAGAGGTACATTCAGTGAGTGGAACTTGTAGCCTGGACTTTTGTTGTTATTATTATATTACCATTACTATTATTATGTATTGTATTATTATTGTTCAGATTTACCTGAACAAATCCGACTTAGAGACAGACTTAGAGAACGGATGTTGTTTGTAACCTGGGGACCCCCTGTAATGAATTTGGCTTGGCCTATCCAATGCACACAATCCCCCATTCTGGATAGGGGAGAGAAGTCAGCCTTAATCAGAGTACTGACTTTTCTGTAGTCTGTACAAAAGCCCAATATGCCACCTGGCTTGGGAACCAGTAATCAAGGGGATCTCCATGGACTTCAAGCAAGACGGGTTCAACAAGATGCTCGCTCTCTTTTTTCATGATGTCATGTTTGGTAGGATTAACATGACAGGAGTCCTGCTACACAGGATCATCATCACAATCATCTACTATCTACTCTCTGTTATCAAAACTTCTCAGCTCTGCAGTATGAAAATATGTCTTCTGTCTTGTTACATATTGAGACCCCTGCTTATTGGCACAACTGCGAGGCTTTCAATGGACTTAAAAGTAATTGGCTTTCAACACATCAATAATATCAAGGTTTGTTTCATTAGAATTCCTGTACAGGTTACATGGACAAATCGGAGAACATGACATGGAGGTCAAGCCTAAGGAAACCAATAAATGATTAGCATGATGTTTCAATGTGTTCATATTTGATCAGTTTCATTTCCAGTCTCTATAATCCTAAACATTAGCAAAACACATGTAGCTATGTTTCAAATGAATTGTAATATTTTTGCAAGACTGATATTCTTGTCCCCAATACTTGACATCTGCAGATAGGAGTTGTACAATGTTGCTGTTATTGGTTTTAGTAATAAAAACATGGATCACTCTCAGGGTGTCTGCTTTCAGCAAAAGGAACTGAACTATTAAGGCTGATAATGTGTGAAATGCTTGAATAGAAAAAGAAGACTTGTTTAAAAAATATAAATGTCCCATGCAACCTACAGAATTTCTGCCTTTTTCTGTTCTATTCATGTACTTCTTGAATATTACTGTGGCCAAGCTAACTCTGATCATCACTGCTATCTTCATTACCTCTTTCAGGTTTATCTCTCCACAGCTGACTGGTCTTGTAGCTGCAGCTGCCACTGTCATTGCTGGCCCATTAAAGCATTATACAGTATGCACTAGATCTTTGGTCGGGAAGATCTAAGGTTACTTATAGCTGGTAATAAATGAAGGGATGAAGTGATGATAACAGATCAGCATTTGGAAGATGGATAAGCGGATAGATGGATGGATGGATGGATGGATGGATGGATAAATGAATGGATGGATATTGCAGAATAAATCTATAGGCTACCACTTCCATATACAGTATACATGTCTTCAAAGCTTCAAAGTAATAAGCTCAGCACACAGAGAGTTGTTCGGCATCAATGTTTAACATGACATATCAGAGGAATGCCTGTTTAACAGTTCAATGCTCACACTAGAAGCTGCAGTACTTCCTCTCACATTCAAAGAGAATACCTTAAATGTTTTCAAATGCTGGTCCCTGCTTGTATAAAAACCTCTAGCATACAAACAGGAGTATGCAGAGCAAAAACCTTAATCGTGATTTACAACATTATTTGATACATTTTTCAGTTGTTAGGTGCGTTCTGGCAGCTCTTTGTACATTAAAAATGTGTTAAATGATGCATTTAATTTTCAGGTCAACTGATGTCGATTACAAATGGCAGCAAAATTATTTGAACTTTTAGTGTACTATCATTATTTTTTTAACTGATGCTATTTAACTGACTTTTTGTTACAACAATCGGGAAAACAATGTCTTGGTTTTACTTTTTTTTTTGGTTGCCACTGATTGTGAAGGACCAAACCACTTCACCCAACAATAATCTCTGCCACGGGCATTTCCTCTGACTATGATAATTTCCCACTATTGTTGAAGGGACCTAGCACACTGGGAAGTGTCATCTAATCAACAAGACTGCTTTTCTGTTTTAAGAAAGGAACGAGGAAGTACTTTCTCCTTCACAAATTGTCTTTGCATCAAATTGTCTCATGATCCATATTAGTGGCATTTTCAGTAATACTGTATACTTGAAATCCAAATTTTCTGTTGAAATACTGAAGCTGCATATCTAGCATATCATACCTACCCATCTGTAACAGGCTGGAGAGCACAGTTCATTTTTCTCCCCCCCCCCGTCAAAAATATGTTGTGATTCTTCATTACCTTTCAACACATTGGTCATAAATGCTGTGCCATCATCAAAAGCCGGCCCCCTTTTTTCACAACCCCAGTGGTGGATTATGGTGCAATGCAAAGTCATTTAAATTCAAAGGCTAGGATGTATGATTTGAGTAATTTTTAATGTGCTGAAATTGTTGTTGTCAGTGGTGCTGGTTCCAGCATCTCAGCTGAAACCCCTGGGATTTTCATGCACTACAATATTTAGAGTAAACAGAGGATGATGAAATAAAGAAAAACATGCAGTCAGTGGCAATTTTGGGGGTGAAAACACCTTGTTAAATGAGAGAGGTCAGAAGAGAATAGCCAGAATCAATAAAGCCAACAGTAAGACCACAGGAGGCATCTAACAGCTCGGTACAGCACAAGTAGTGTCATCAACTCATCTATACTAATAGCAGTTTTGTAGGCAACAGAGTACCTAATAAAGTGGCCACTGAGTATAATAACTATTATTATTATTATTGATCAGTGGGTCACACTTGCGAGTTTGGTGGCTCAAAGCCCATGCAACTGTGTCTGTGAGGAGTATGCATGTTCTTCTTGTGCAGCACAGTTTTCCTCCAGCTTTCTCCCATGAGTTCAAAAATGAACAAATCTCGGTCTCTAAGTTGCCTATAATCTATAATTGTGTGGGTGCCATGGGTTAGATTGACATCTTGTCCAGGATGTTCCCTTGCCTTGTTCCTTATGCTGCCCGGAACAGGCTCCAGGCTACCTGTAACCCTGTATTAGATAATTGGTTGGAAGCATTAATCCAATATCTAATAACCCCTTTAGATTCATAATTTAAAAAAAAAACAGACACACACAAAACAAAACAAAAAACAAAAATGTCATACTCAGAATCTGGTTACACTTTATTCAACTTTTAAATGTAAATATTTTATACAGTATAATTATAATATAATCATTACCAAACATATTACACAACAATGAGTAAATACAGTATAAGCAAGAACGTGAAAATGAAAATGAAAGATCTTTGTGTCGTTTTTGTATAGATGTACATGCAAATCTAGAAATCATGCTGATTCCTCCAGTTTCTGTAACAGTGAAAAACCCATGACCATTAGATTGAGCTTAACTCTCATCGATGCTGCCGCCAAAAATAGTTACAAATGTCACTTGTACTCTTGACACTATAGGGTTAATACAGAACTACAACAAAAATATTTATTCACAACTTTTATTACTGTTTGGTTACAAAGGGCAAGTGATTTTCTGATCAGTGGTTTTAAAGTGTCTGATGTTGTCACTGTCTGCGGACAGGGCTGGGGACATCATTAAGGAGGAGATTGTTGTGTTATTAAAGCCCAATCTCGCTATCAAGGTCAAGTGAAAGTGAAAACAATAGCTGATACTTGACTGCTACCCTTAGCTTCACAACTTAAGTTAACATATAGTCTTTGAATGCTGAATGTTCAGTGGCTCTATTGATTGATTGATTGTTTTCCCTCACTCTCAGGCTGTTCTGTTGAATAGATGAAGGGCAACGAACTGATGATTTCTTGGCACAGATGTTGGGAGGCTGGTTTAGGAAACCGTAGCTAATTTGTCTGCTGAATTACATGGACACTCTTGGATGACACTGGATGACTATTGGAGTGGTAATGAGGAATGACATACCCTCAGTTAACCACACCAGTACTGTGGCACATTGCTTTAAAATTGTATTTTTAAACTCTTGTTTACTCATACTCTCCCTGCCTGTAAATTAGCCCATGAGCAAATACTTCTATATAAACACTGATGGTAAGCTGAACGAGTTAAAAGACATTTCCAAATAGAAAAAAAGCTTAATAAAAACAAACAATCAGAGAAATACCAAGAGGAGGCAGGAGTTCGTGGTCAGTATGTCTGCACACAATGATCACTGCTAAGATTGATCTTGGGATAAAAATCCCAGGAAACTGATAAATACACACATAACTTGTCGCTCAACACACAATTGTTGCATAATATGCTAATATGCACAGATGAAACAGATTAGCTGGGTGTTTTTTTATACATGCATATGCAGACAATGCTCTCTTGTGATTTATGTACTTATACTCATTTGGTCTTTTTGGAATGATTCCCCACAACGTGTGTATTGATTTATTTCGCTGATTGGGTTTCAATGCTTGTTCAACTTATGGAAGTATCACACCATATAGGGAACACACATACGCACGCACGCACGCGCGCGCGCCGACACGGTTCTTCACTGCGATTCCCCCAAACACTTAGACAAAATCGGGAACCGTCGGCCGATCTCCTGGTCTCCATCAGAACAAGGATATATTTTGTCCTCAGCGGGTCCTCTGTGTTAAGCTGTAGTGATGGGTAGTGGAGAAATTCCCGGCAAACCGTGTCGTCTGCAGGAAATCAGAATATGCATGTTCTGCACGGTCGAAAATAAGTTTAGTTGTAGTTTGACACAAATCGGGGAAATAAGCTCTTCATGCTGAAGGAAATAATATTTACAGGGAGGTAACTGAGTATTTGTGACTTTCGGATATTACTAATTGCTTCTATCCTGCTGACGGGACGCTGGGAGTACCTTACTGCTATTATGGGGATCGAGTACCTTCTTCATCCAGAGGAAATAATTTAACAATAAAAAAACAATCAAAACAAATGAGACCAAGATCCATCCGAGCCGTCAGTGTTACAAAGATAAGGAGTCTGATGAGCATCCGTACTTATTCTTTGCTTTTTCTTTAATCGGACTACCTTATGTATGAGATGGAAAAACGGGGAATCCACGGTGTGATTTACTATCTCGTGATAAATGCCCCGCTCTTGTTATTCGTAAGCGGTAAGTATACAGGACCTACCTCTGTGTAATCTGCAAACACCAACATTTCTTATTGTCGATGCATTAAATATGCATTTGTGGAATATATTTGAATTTGCATGATTCTTATATGAAATATATAGGTTGCAAGAGTTTGAAAGCTTTATTTACCAAAATCCATTATATTAATGAAATGGATGTTTGATGCTGCAATACATCTGGCACACGCATAAAAATGAATGAAGCGTGGCATTTCTGACTACATTATGCATACACGCTAATAGTATAAAATAATTTTAGAATAGAACATGTGTAAAGCTTTAAAGAAAAAGGCAGATTTCTTGGCTACTTTAGATGCGTCGCCTATATCAGTACATGTTGTATTTCATATAGGGTGAACAAAATATAACAACCTTAGTCAGACAGGGACACATTTTTTAAACATTAATACCTATTACACAAACAGCTTTCCATTGCACAAAAATAAACTAACAAAAAGCGCACAGAAATTACAACTTGTAGGTGGCTGATATACAATTTCCATTTGATTTTCTGCCCTGAATAGCGACGTTTACTGAAATCCCGAGGGATGTAAATGTCGGCGAAGGGGAAGATATTGAAATGCCTTGTGCTTTTCGGACAACGGGATCCACGCCGTTTTCACTGGAGATCCAGTGGTGGTATCTTAAGGAAGCGGCACCTAGAAAACTTGCACACGAGGTACAGATGAGCGTCCCGGCAAGCCGAGCCAAGGTACCTCTATAGCTACAGACTTACGCAACTTAGAACTCAACCTAATAGTGATTTAAAAAAAATAAATAAAGTTACACTGGATAAAATGCAAAGAAGGCATTTTGTACTTTACGTAGCCTACTGTATGTGTGTTTGCAGGTGAGTTTCAGATGGTTACACAACTAGTGAAATGACTGATTTTATGATTTTTTTCAAATCACACAATGCAGTGCTAGTCTTTGAAGTAACTTGACATTATGTATCGAAGATTACAACCAATTGCATAATTTCCTTTTACCGCTACTCGGACCTGCAGGCTGTAACAGCATAGAAAAAACCGCTTGGATGTGAAATATGGAAAGTTATACGGTATTTTTAAGGACAAAGATGTAGTGATACATGCTGTGGTATTTGTTTGACCAAAATACATCTCAAACTTACGGTTTCAGATTGCTACCAAGGATGCTACAAAAATAAGTGTGAGTTTATTATTATTATTATTATTATTATTATTATTATTATTATCATCATCATCATCATCATCATCATCATCATGATTTTGATATTATCATCTACGTATTAGGTGGCATTGAAATATGGAAATATATCAATTATATGTAATACTTTAATAATAATGCTTGATTTTTACCTCCTGCTGTGGTTATTTATTATGCATGGTTTGCTTTATTAATTTATTTATGAGTATTAAAATTTCACATTACGCAATTCAGTTTCAAAGGGGAAAGACAGAATTTGTTTTATTTTGCTAATTATCATATTGTTATGCAGTTCAGCTTCAAAGAATAAGTGTGTCCTTGTTCTTCAGCTGTCTAACTAGCGAAATAGGCCTATATCTGAAGCTGAAAAGCAGAAAGTACAGCACCAGTGTGTTTAGAGAAGTGTGTACAGAAATTGTTCTTCTCTTTCTTGTGGCAGACTGTCCGAGTCCAGGGAAACGCCATATCCCACAGACTTCGTCTCTCTAATGTGCGAAAGGTGGACGAGGGGATGTACGAGTGCCGGGTGTTGGGTAACAACGCGGACGAGACTCAGGAACACAGAGCTCAAGCCACGTTGCACGTCACTCCACGTGATGGTATGGTTGCCGAGGAAGCTGTTTCCCACATTCAGAACCGGTGGCCTCTGAGAAACAGCAACAGTGTGGGCAGTGGTCGGGCCACCTCTGGGCCAGGTCAGGGAAAAGTTCGGGTGCCTCTGCCAGCCGGACATGGTCTGGCTTCAACCAGCACAACAGCGGCAACCCCAGCAACGAAATCTTCAGCGTCACCACAGCCTGGCAATGTGGCCATACTCAGGCAGCAACATGGGACTGGTGAGTCAAAGATCTATGCTCCCACCTAGTGGTGACATCAGAAACTGCTGGTTGTTGTTATTTGCGAAAATGTGTGTGCAACTTATTTTCAAAATGGAAGTCTTGAAGAACATTACTGTATTTGACACGTAAGAGCCTGATAAAAACCAAATTAGCCTCATATTTGTTTCTGATAACAGCTTGTCTCTACACTGAAAAAAATGTTTGTGAGGTGAGGATTTAGTTGTGGATGATGCCTGCATAGCTGTCAGTCATATTGCAAATAAGAGGATAAAAACTGAATTTCCTCTTAAGCTTAGGAGATGGAACCTCACGTTGTATGGTCACGTGAAGCATCTGAAAAGAGTAGTTCCACTTGCTGATCGGATATCAAATTTGAGCATGGCTGTTACGCGTTCAGCCTGGTGGAGTACCCTGTGTCAAATTCTTGTGGACGCTCATCTTATTTTTTTCCGAAAAGGGTCACATATATTTAGGGGTCGCACAATTGCTAAGAAGGTAACATTGCTACTCACACATGTACGGTTGAGGATTCAAATATACTCCTGCGGTCTGTGTGTGTAGTTTATCACAAATACAATGCCACTACCATGGTTGCAACCTGTGTGAGTCTCTATGACATTGATCCATTGGTTAATTTGCAACATATGCCTGTAGAAGTAACAGGATCCACCATCTTGTTGAGGGTCTCATTTCGGAAGGTGGGCAAGTGCTTGTGTGTGTTGTACTGTTCCATTAATTCACAAAACAGGAGAGAGCAGATTTGTGACAGCATGTGTTTCCCTTGCAAGCCTGACAAAGCCTGCAGGTGGAATGATATTAGAATGGAGTCAGAAGGATTTGTTTGCAAACCTTCAACAGCAACGACCGACAGTCACAGATGACTATCCAAGCGCTTCAGCGATATGGGAGCCAGTTTACCTCCCCCACCCCCACATCCCATCTAGCCCCCAAACACTCAGTTACCCCCCCGCGCAGCGAGAACAAGTGACAGAGGCAGCAAATCCGTGAGGAGAATACCGGCACAGCACACGCCAGCTCATGCGAGTGAAGCCTTTGTTTGCGGGATGACTCACCAGAGAGCACCATTTACCAGAGTGAGCAGGGGGCGGCAGAGTCACAAAGGACGGGAAAATAGTCACCAAGCAGTAATGGCAGGCCGTTTCATTACAATGGCTATGACTGCCTAATTGGGGATCACCATGTTCCATGCCTGACGTAGTTAGAACATTGATTGATTTGGCTTGTTTTCTTTTGGGGTTAATGACCAGTGTGTGTTAGATTTACTTATTTTCATTTCAGTTACTGTAGCTGCTGAATCTCAGAAGTGGCCATTTTTCTACCTAGACAAACCTGCTGAGTTGACTGAGTATTGATAAGGGCCTCTCTTTTTCTGTGCCCTGCTTTCTAACAAACTGTTTTCCCTCATCATTTAGACGGCAGGACAAAGAAATTTGCCAGTATAAATACTTTGCCTTTGTTAGTCTGGTGCAGCTGGCACACATCTTCCCAAACCATGCTGCTAATATTTCATTTGCTCTCTTTCTTGTTGGGATATTTTCCTCCAGTCCTCTTCGTTTTGGATCCTCCTGCATTCTAATTTTTCTACAGCTTCTTATCCCATCACCCAATTGCATTGCAGAATCCCATGTGATATTTGAGAGTGTTTATACCTGCACATATGTGCAGCTCGATTCTTGTTCGTCATCTAACCACGTCGTCAGCTGAAATCCTACAATGGATGATGCAATTTGTCCTTCAAAGAGGACTTTAAATCATGTATTTCTATTACACCAGAGGTCCCAGCAGATTAATGGGATATGCACATATTTGGATGATCTAGGAACGGCTGCAAAGTATGAAGCAGAGGGTTGCTGGTCCATATCAGGATGACACAGTGCAGTCTCAACATTCCCATCTCAATAAAAGAAAATATTATTTACGTTTGTTTAACACTTCTGTCTTTCTGAGATATTTGACAAAGAAATCATATATCTCTTTATATAAAATGTAAAATATTCATTATACTGTAGTCCTAGACATTTTCTATTGGTTGTTAATACCTACATTTGACTGAAATTAAGGCATTTAAGGATTTGTACATTGTAACTCATCTGTCAGTTCTTAGATATCTTCTGATCTCATATCCTCAATTGTCTAATACTCCAAACATTACTCAAATAGACTTCATCTTCATGCCTCTGCCAAATATGAGGGGTATGATCTCACATATCTATAATAAAATTCACTCTCTGCATCCAGCAGCCCTTAATACTATAAAGACTCAGCAAGGAAATTCTTGAGGGACTATGGGATTCAGCCCTACATTGCGTGAATTCTTGATCAATGCATGCAAAGCATGGCCTAACTCAGTGTAAAAAGTTCACTGCATCCACTGGACCCAAGTTAAATTAAATAAAATATCTCCCAATGTCGATCCCACTTGGGACCACTGCCGTCAAGTCCCTGCAACCCTAACACATACATTTTGGTTCAGCCCAACCCTGTATAAATATTAGTCCAAGGTCATTGGGTCTGAGGATTAGTGATCCACATCTCTATTTGTTACCCTCCCATCCTCAATGGTGCTTTCTTCATATAAAGCTGATATTCTTACGTTTATCCCAGTGTGATTTTACTCTGGTGTAAGTCTCCAATTGTCCCTTGTTTGATAGGAGACATTCTTTCTTTCATAAGATTGAAAAAATTAGACAAACATTTTATAACATATGGGGATCCCTTTCTGACTTGGTAGAGAAATTACACCTCTAGACTAAAATGAAGACATGTGCAATACGGCAATGAGAAGAATATAACCATTTTTATCAATATTCTCTTTTGGTAAGCAGAGCCTTTTTTCTTTCTTTTTTATCCTAATTATTATTATTATTATTTGTGTATCATGTGCCTTTCGTCAATCAATCAGTGAGACATTTCCAGTCGATCGCTGTCTATCAAGGAACTGTGCCATTTGGCAGAATGTATCAAGAACCCTCCTGTTGCGACTTGGAAAATAATCTAGGAAGCTACCTTGTAAAACTAAAGTTTGGAGACCATTGACTTAGAGTATATAAATGCTTTGACCACAAACCAACAAGGAATACTGGTGAACAAGTAAATTTATCTTGCCTAGTGGTTTAACTCATGTGCTGAATGGTTAAATGTGTGTCAGTCATCTTTGGGTTGATAACTGACATGACCCACATAACTAGAAAGACAAGGTGAATCACTCTTTTACTTGGTAGGTTTAAAAACGTGTCATGATCAATAACTATCAAATTATCTACTAAACTGAAGGTTATAAGAAACACATTTAAGTCTATTAGCTTTGTGAAACAGAGTATGTTTTGCTTCACTGGAGTTTATACCTTTATACCTTTTATAAACCTAAGGGTGGTGCTGTTTTGCATAATGCTTTGTCAGACATTTTTTGAAATGCTGCGCTTTTTTGGTTTTACATGGGAATAATGTTTCTGAAGATACATTGGCATTAAAATGATATTTTATGTAATATGAATGTTACAGGTTTTTCTTTTCTTTTCTGATGACCACACATACTGGAGAACAACTCTGCCCCCACACCTCAGGTCTTTAATTAAGCCAATGTAGTTTTACAAGCTCCACTAGCTTAACTTTCTGTGTGCAGTGTAAAAATGTTATACAGTATTTGTTTGCTTGAATTGTTACAATTTAGTTTAGACTATTTTCCTTTATTGGGACCTTTAATTTTGTGTTTTTAAGGGGCTTATGACTCTTTGTGACACATCACTGGCGCTTTAATTAATACTGTTATCTCAGTAGTCTGTCCATTGGATTATTACCATGTAACACTTGTCACTTGTGTCACTTGTCCACCAGGCAGAAACTTTATGTTTACATTCCCTCATTCTTATGTCTAATCGCTGGAATAATTGCAGTTAATATTTTCCTGGCCTTGTGTTTGTAGCTTTGTTTCAATATGCATTGCTGCAGTGGGTTGCAGTGTTTGTATAATTGTTGGAATTTATAAAATCAAGCGATCTCCAGGAGTGTGAAGGCATTTCTTCATGTTTCATTGGGTAAATAAAAGCAAATGGATTACAGTTAAGATATATTAGACAAAACAACGTGAGCTATTTCAGCACAAACCCATTTTCTTTCTGTAAATTTGTATTAGCTTCAGACATAGAGCCCTGTTTGTTATCAAGCATGTGGCAGCAATGATATAACTGAGGAAAAGCCTCATGTCATTTATAGCATTAAAAAAAGTTTAAACCCCATTAAAATTACTGCATTAATACAAAATAGAATAATTAAATAATTAAAATATGGTGAGCAGCACTGTGTAAATTATAAATTTGCTGTCATTAACCTTATCTTAGAAACGTAGTGTCCAGCGTGACCATGATTCAGTTTCACGACTGAAGATGAGTAGTAAATAAAAGGACCATGAGGTGTCAAATGAGGAAGTGGGGAGGACAACTCAGGTGGAATCAGGTCTGACGTAAATTAAGGGGAAGGTTGGGTAAACAGTAAAAGAAAACACTAGGATTAACTACACGAGTGGCAATCAACACCAAGCGGCAGCAGTAACATCTACAGCACTAACAATGACTGAATTAGGGAACAACGTACCTTTGGTAACAAGGACCAGACAAGGGACAGATGTGAGTGATTTGGACCAAGAGAGGAAGAAATGGGAAACAGCAAATCCCCTTGCTGGCCAATGGGAACATGGCAGGTGTGACAGAGACGATCATGACAATCAGTGTACTATATAAATGTCTCAGTCTCTACTTATAACACATTTGTGCTATGATCCTCAATGTTAATGCAGATTTTGGCCGGAATAAAGTACATGAATAAATATTTCTGCGGTGTGAACAGTATTAAAAATATGATTGGACTTTACACTGAAAGAGAAAATACAAATTGATTAGTTATGACCTTTAAACGGGGCAGTACAGTGGTGCAGTGGTTAGCACTGTTGGCTCACAACTCTGGGACCAGCATTCAAGTCTCCACCATGGCTCATAAGCTTAGGAGATCAAGTTTGCATGTTTTCCTCCGGGTACTCTGGTTCCCCCCCACAGTCCAAAAACATGCTGAGGTTAATTGGAGTTACCAAATTGCCTATAAGTGTGCATGTGTGAGCAAATGGTGTGTCAGTGTGCCCTGGAATAGGTTGGTGCCTGGCTTGTTCCCTTGCTTTTTGCCTGTAGCCTGGATAGGCTCCGGACCCAAGTGGTTACAGAAAATGAATGTATAGAAGGGATATCCCTAGAAATCACGCTCCCTTCAGGGTGACCCCGTTAGCATTTCCCCGACACCATATATTAGCTGGCACATTTCCCAGCAGTTATACATTCCTGATGAACATGAATGTTTGATATCAGGAAAAGGCGTGACTTGAACTATGTCTAATTTAGTGCTGTCAAACGATTAAAATTTTTAATCAGATTAATCACACGGTTGCTGTGGATTCATTTAGATTAATCACGATTAAATGTTATTCATTTTTAATCTATATTTCATTTTGAATGAGCAAACAGACTCAAGAAAAAAGGGAATATATATGCACTTAATATGTTTACTGAACATCTTGAATACAAGTGGGATGCATTCCATCTGCCACAGAAGTGCAATATATCACGGACCCATATCAAAAAGCAAGATTGTTTGCTTAGCCGGGCAACTTGGCGGATTTAAGGTACCTCATTTTAAATGGTCTTTACCTTCGTTCACTTACAATTAGCCCGAACTACCGTAAATCCGACAAATAATCCGAATAATCATGAAATCCAATTCTAGCCCGGTTAATTGCCATTGTTACCAATATCAGTTGATAACACATTATGCACAGTGCTTTACGTATAAAACTCTGTAGCAACACGTCCACAGATAAGTTGGACGGTATAGTGTGTACGACTGATTTAATGAGCCACAAATAAGAAGTAGTGCTTAAACAGTATAAAACTACAACTTTCCCTTCTGTTGATAAAGGGAGCAGCCATCTTAGATTCTGAACTCTGCGCTGCTCCGAGATTGGATCTCTGAGAAACGGGAGCGCGCATGTCATTATTTACGGCTTCAAATTTTGGAATCCGACTCGGAATATGAGTTCCGAGGGCAAATGGAACGCACCAAAACTGCTAGAAATGGGTTGACAGAGACATTTCAGGGATTTTGAGTCATTATGCGCTGCAGATGGGTTAATTGCGTTAAAAATTTTAATCAGATTAATCATGATGATGGATTAATCCGCGTTAACCCGTGAATTTTGACAGCCCTAGTCTAAATATGATGTGGAAAAACTATGTGCCAAAATTGTTCTCTGGCAGTTTCACCGTGGTACAGCTTCTGCTGAAGTTATCAGTCATTAGGACAACTATATAAGTTGTGAACTAGTGTCCTGATGTATATTGAGTGGGAAGGAAGCATAGACCTGTCATCTTTGGAATCTGGCATTATTTTTCTCGTAGCCTGCTGTAAAATATATACATAGTATTGTACATACGACCAACTTCAATAATTTTAGATTTTAAATAATTCATTAATTTAATCTGTTAAATAATTTACTTGATTCACTGTCCTGGAAGTCATTCACTGATTAATTAAACTTTTGTTGATTCTGGGTTTCAATGGCCTGTTGCTTTAAATTACATCAGTTATTTTTAAACAGGTTGTGATTGTTTGAAGTTTCAACGTTGTCAAAAGTAATGGAGGAAAGGAAGGGTCAGTTACCCTATTTAAGTGGGCTTTAGAACCCCTATCTTTTGTCTCGACCCCCCAAAATAGTTTTTTTTTTTTTTTAACCATTTAGTGATTTGTCCCAAATTTTCATATCCATTTTGCATCCCCTGTTCAGCAAATTTCATTGTGGGTATCCACAAAAATAAAATAAAAATCATGGGGAGATGAAGTCCAGTATTTCATCAGGGGGCTCAGCCCCCCTAAGGGTCAAATCCTAGAATTGTCCCTGAGCAGGAGTTTTATTTCCTTCAATTCAGACATAAAGACATAAAATAAACTCCTGCATCTGTTACTGAACCATAACAACATGAATGGGCCACACCTCACTGCGCCTAGACAGCAGGAGGCTGCGCATTGTAATGAATGCTCAGCTACTCTCTTTTTCTTAATACCTGGTTTAGAAACTGATGTAAAGCACATGAGCTCTTTTCATTGATAAACGGTAAATTTTGCTGTCAGCACCTTTATTCTGTTGGACAGACTTAGAGATGGACTGCATCTGAACCATAATGTGCTTCCTTGCTTTCAGTAGAGAAATGTATCACAGTAAATGTGAATCTGCTACAAATTCTTGTTGAAAAATATTCGTGAAAAACTAGAGCCTTTGATAGTTTTCTCTTATTCACTCAGGCATTGACAGAGTTATATGAGAAAATGAGACCGAAATTCATTTAGGCTAAAGTCAAGTTACACATTGAACTAATGTCAATAGACACATTGAACTAAACCTAAAAAAACAAGATATAATTACTGTTAGAAAAATCGAAATGTCAAATGAATTCATAATTTAAAAGAAAGTTTTTTTTTGTCTTAGGAACATTCCTTATGCTGTTCTGTTGTTGGAAAACTTGACTTGCAGAGGCAGTGTAATGGTGATTTGTGTATTAATGCAGCAAAAATGAGGTAGATTTCAAAAATAAAATTTGAAACATATCCTTTCGGAGATTTTCAATGCATATTTCAAGATTTTCACAGTAGTCACTGGCAGCAGAAATGATGGTATCTTGAGAAGGTTGGGAGTGGAGAGTTTCCAAAGGGCTTGATGATAAACAGATCTTAAGCTGTAGCTCTCTCTGAGCCTGTCAGATATACACCTGTTATTTCGGCATGGGGTAAAAGCCCTTCCCATTTGCTGTTATATGAGGGAGATATCCCTGCCAATGAGAGGGCAGATCTCGTCTCTTGCCAAAGGGCAGTTCAGAACTAAGGGAAATAGAGAAGAATACATCTTGTTCTGCTATTTTCTTGGGCATGCAGTAGGGAATCTTTCTTGATGTGTACTCAGGGTTATGTCAAGATTCGAGGTTAAGATTGCTTATCAGCGTTTTCAACCTGTCAGTCAGTCATCCATTTTTAAATTATGGTAAAAGCAATAAAAATTGGATAGGAAATGAAATGCAAAAAACAGCAACTGAAGAGTAACATTGATCTTTAATTTCTGAACAAAAAACTTAATGTTTGAAATAAGCTTGGTTTATAATATTTAAATATAATTATCAATGTAACATATGCAGTGCTTGTAGAAGTGGACTTGGCTACAGTTCGGACTGGTGATTTTTTTCTTCTTCCCTCCCACCAGCTTCTGGAGCCATCAAAGCCACTGACCCAGCGCTGTGTGTTGCCCTGCTGATACTACATACCGTCCGTTTCCTGTGTGTTACCTAGAGACATCAATCAAATGACAACTTGGAACGCTTTATAACCATGACGACAAAAGGCAAAGGACTTATACAAATGGCAGTTATGGAAAAGGCTTAAAAGACAAGGCACATTTTGCCTGGGACTTACAAAGACTCGTCTAAAAGATACAATGGATACAATGGACTGTGTAAAAAGCATGATAGCAAAACATAATAAATCCATAAATATGAGCTTTGCTCTTACAAATACCATACTCAAAGTGATGCATTAAGTTTCTCAGTAGCATCTATCCCGTTGATTGCACTGCATCAATTACCTTTTTACATTTTTTTTAGATATATACCTTTTGTTTTATTGCAGACTGTTGAGCAGTTAAACACTGTTACATTCCAGTCATCATAGATTGTAAAAGTTCTGTAAGAGAAAAACTATACCTGTGTCATTTCACACATTTCTTTTTATAATTATGTCAACAAATATGACCTTATATATTTTAAGTAACAAAGCACATTGTGTCATAGTTGTTGTATGCCTCCCATGATGTTTATTTTAATTAAAAATAATGGTGATTCAGGCAAGATATTCATTTTTAAAAGCATTATGTTGCCAGTACCAGACATATGTGTGTGTTTTTGTTTTTTTAAATAAACACTTCCAAGTACGTTATCATATATTGAACTATTGTATCACTGGATAGCTTTCAAAATGATCTTCATGTGAACCCATCACCCATCATTCATTATGCTCTGCAAAGTGATGTGTGTTGCGTTTGAACCTATTGTGAATTCATTGCAAAATATAAACTATTTACAAACCAAAGGCAACCAAAAGTGATGGGCTGGCAAACCAAACAGAGCAATCATCCTACAGAACAGAGAGTAGAAAAGGTGAGGAAACAAAGAAAAAAGATGTAGAGGGGGAAAAAAATCTGAGAACCCCCACCCACAAGAGCTCATCAGATGTAAATAGTAGTCCAGGATTCAGAAGAACGGGATAAAGCATTTGGTTGGCACATCCCTTCTTGTAATGAATGTCATGCAACAGGCACTGGTTCTGATTCTGCATAAAATGATAGGAGTTTGGTCAGTTAGCACCACTACTGACAGAGAGCTTAAAGTGTCGCAGCACTAATAAAGGGGCCAACGATTCCATTTCTATAGTAGAATGATTCATTGGTGTTTATCAAATTTCCTGGAGAAGGAACAGATAGGGTTGATACGGGCACTGGCATCTATCTTCAGTTTAAAATATTTATCACAGTTTGTAGCAGCCAGAGCATTAAGGGGCTCAGCAAAATAGTGAGAAATAGAGAAACACAGGAAATAACCAGCCATTCCTAGGAACTGCTTCAGATGTTGTTTTGTTTCAGGCACATGAAGCAGCAAATTGCCTTTACTTTACAGCTTTTATCTTAGCAACTCTACAGAACTAGATTAATATTGTCACGCTGGTGCAATCCCTCCAGTGTTCCCAGTCCCCAGAATTCTAGCCAGGCTTTACTCTCTCCCAATATGTTTCCCCATTAAGTATATCCCTCATCAGTCCTCATGGATTCCACCTGTGTAGATTTATATTTAAGTTAGTCTTCCGTCTCTTTATCTAGCATTTTGTTTCCTATTGCAAACCAAAGTGCCTCCTTGCTCTTCTTTATCTCTGGTTCTAGCCCAGTCCACCGCACTAGCAAAATATTTGGTTTATGGAAGTTTGTGTTAAGTACAGTGATTTGGTTTCGTTTTGTTATTTGATTAAAACATCTACACTCGCACTTACATCCTGTCTCCCGGGATTCCTGCATGACATACATGTGCTCATTGTGACAAATATAGACTATACTTCTCAATAATAAAAACACAAGCAACTAAAATGACTCTCTTGAGCTCAGTGAAAAAGAGCATAAACCTAAAGGACAACAAAGCTACTCAGTAATATTTCAGAGCATCATTCAGCAAAACTTCAATACAACTTTGAATATGGTTTTCTTCTTAAAATGTGATTTCTTGAAATAACTAATTAATTGGATGATCAACCACTACGAAAGGTGCTTAACAGCATATGGATTGCTACTTCAAATGAGTTGATGTGTTTGGAGAAATCCATATGCTTGTCATATATCTACAGGCCATCATCAACCTCACATCTATCAGTACACAAGAGGCAGGTTAAAGAGGATACCACCAGTACCTGCCAGTAGCCTATTAGCAAATCAAGCTTTGTCACATAATAGGGACAGTCAACCTTGTTTACACAATAGTCCATATGAGGAAAGGGCAAGCATCATGCTTGGTGATGGCTCTGACTTTGCTATAATCAGTACAGTAGAGTGTCGCCCCATTGAGCTTCAGCATTAATAAACAAGAGGAACACCAAGACCAAAAATTGTTACCAACCCATTCTCAGGAAGATATTCAACTTCACAGTCTTCATGGGTGGACTGAGATGATGATGATGTTGTTTAAGTGAAAGATGACTTTCTGCATCAATATTACACTGCAGTAGTGAGGATTGCATCAGAATATTTGAAAATAAGATGATGTAGCTTTTATTTAACCGAATGAAATTATTAAATGCAGGGCCAGAAAATATGTGTGACAGATGATTTTAAGTCTTGCATGATTTTGGAATTTGGCAGCTGAACACAGGAATATGGAAGAGAATACATCACTAACTCATCACTCTCCATTCATTTCTCTGGGGAAAACTCTAATCCTAACAAGACGACCTTAACCCCTACCCAGCCCTAACCTTAACAATAGGTAACTAAACTAAATGCATTTTGAATTTTTTGAATGCATTACCAGATCTTTGTGGGGACCTGAAAAATGGTCCCCATAAAGTCAAAGTAACAGGTTTTTATCCCATTGTCCTCACACTTTAATATAAACCTAATCCACACACACACACACACACACACACACAGAGCTCTGTAAAAAATTAGAGACCACAGCAAAAGTTTTGGTTTCACTCATTTCTCTATTTATGGGTATATGTGCGTATGACTCCAGCCTGGCTCTTCCTAGCAGTATTTCCTATCATTGTCCTAGCAGTGCACTTCACACCATTTAATGTTTCCCATTCTTTTTGAAAGTGAATTGAGTTCATCCTCCGATTTATGAGGCACTGCCAGATAAGTTGATGGTCATCTTTGGCATTAGAAAGTAGCTTCTGCCCTCTACCTGGCCAGTTTCTCCTGTGTCACCTTGTTCCTGTGTCTTAGAAACTTTAAGCCTGGAAGCAGAAGGTGTATCCTTCTGTCAGGAGAATCAGGGTTAAACCAGGATTTAAATATTATTTAAATATATTTAAAAAAATAAATAAATACAGTGGTCTCAATTTTTTTCAGAGCTGCATATAATAGGTACTTTTCAAAACATGAGCATGTGCTGCCCTCTAGTAGGCCAACTGCCATAAACACTCACTGGAGCACTTTATTAGGAACACCTGTACACCTGCGTATTTATGCAATATTCTAATCGGCCAATCATGTGACAGCAGCACAATTTTTAAAACCATGCAGATGCAGGTCAGGAGTTTTACACATCAAATACCACAATGGGGGAAAAAGTGATCTCAGTGATTTTGACCTTTGCTTGATTGCTGGTGCCAGATGGGCTGGTTTGAGTATTTCTGTAACTGAAATCTTCTGGCATTTTCATGTACAACAATGTTTAAGTTTATTCAGAATGGTGTGAAATAAAAACAAGAAAAAATCATCCTGTTCTGTGGACGGAAACACCTTGTCAATGAGAGAAGTCAAAGAAGAATGACCAGACTGGTTAAAAGTGACAGAAAGGCTATGGTCACTATGAGAAACATTCTGTACAGAAAGGCATCTCAGAACACGTTGAGCTTTGCGGCAGGTGGGCTGTAACAGAAGAAGATCATGTCGGGTTCCACTCCAATCAGACAAAAACAGAAAGCTGAGGCTGCAGAGGATGCAGGCCCACCAAAACTGGACAGCTAAAGACTGGAAAAACGTAGCCTGGTCAGATGAGACTCGAATTCTGCTGAGGCACTGAGATGGTAGAGTCAGAATTTGATGTCAACAGTATGAGTCCATGGACCCAACCGGCCTTGTGGAAACAGTCTAGGCTGCTGGTGGTGTAATGGTGTAGAAAATGTCATCGATCATTACTTTATTGCCACAGCCTATTTGAGCATTGTTGTGCATCCTTTCATGGCCACAATTTACCCACCTTCTAATGGCTACACCAGCATGATAATGCATCATGTCACAAAGTAAAAGTAATCTCAAACTGCTTTCATGAACATGATAATGAATTGTGTTCTTCAGTGGCCTTCCTAGTCACCGGATCTCAATCCAATAGAGCACCTTTGAGATGTGACAGAACAGGAGATTGGCAGCATGGATGTGCAGCTGACGAATCTGCAGAAATTGTGTGATGCAGTCATGTCAGCATGGACCAGAATGGCAAAGGATTGTTTCCAACATCTTATGGAATCCATGCCACAAAGAACGGAGGCTGTTTTCAGAGCAAAGGGAGGCAGTACCCAGTATTACTATGGTGCTCAGTGAGTGTATGTAGTAATGAATGGTTTAGGACTGCTTCACTGGAATTATATTTAGAGTAATTTACCAGTAGCTATCCCAAAGGGACCGAAAAACAGGCCACCCATTAGGGCTCCAATAGCAGCTGTCAGAGCTCCGATGGCAGAATACGTGTAGGCAGCCTTTATCTTCTGGTTTGTGGCCAAGTGGCAACAAAGCTGCATGATATCTTCCACCAACGGAGCTATTCTTGCAACACTTTAATTGGGACAATAATGTGACCAGAAAGAATTGCAAACATTTGTTGAAGGGCTAAAGAAATTAAGACATTGTTATAAATATTATTATAAATATTGCTTTTTTGTTGTGATATAACTTTTTTTTTATCATATGAATGTTCACAATGCCCATCTTTTGTAGTTTTCTCATTTCTCTCTCATTTAACTGAAATTGTCTGTAATATATGGTATTACTTTAGTAACACCAGTCCCATGACTGGCATATTTCAGGGGTCATTTTACTATCTTAAGTTCTATAATTTCAAAGTGATGTTTTGCAAATAATATAATTATGAAATAAAAAGAAACTGCTGATGAGCCATGTCCTTAAAACATAACACTTAAGAAGTTGCTTTTTTTCCACGCTATCTTACTTCTTAAAAGTGTTATTAAACTAATGATTTGGACAGTAGTCAGCATACTTTTTCATGTTTAAATAATTCATTAAAATAACGTTAATTATATGTAAAGCAGTTAGTCAGCTATATTTTATTTTAGCATTACGAATTTAATTGAAGTTATATACATTGCTTTCTCCCTGCTCAGGAATATGCTTTTTGAAGTATAATCATGAAAGTATGGTGCCCTCTAGTGTCAATAAGCATGACATATTTCTCAACAGCCTCTGGCTTTTATTCTCATCCCTGTGACCCCATCCATCCATTATCTGTACCCACTTGTCCTATTCAGAGATGTGGGGGGTCCATTGCCTAGCCTGGAAGTTACGGGTGCATGACAGGGAGCAACCCAAGATGAGGCGCCAACCCATCGCAGGGCACACATTCACACACCATTCAGTCACACAGGTACACCTCTATGGACAGTTTGGCTAATTCCTGTGACCCTATTCTCGATTAGCCGTCGGCAGAAATAAACCTCTTCAGAAAAATGATATAGAAACCTTTTATTTGTAGTAACTATCTTTTGTCCAATGGTTACTGTTACTCCTCCTGTTTCTTTGGAGGATACGATTATTATTACTCTTTTTTTCTTACTAAATTATTGTTACATGGAATTTTTGTTTACATGGAAAAGTAGTATTTTGCAGTCCTGTCTGGTCAGTCCTTTGACTTTTAAGACTACTTTGAGTTGAACTTCGCAGTTCAATGTTTCTAATATTGTGTGAATTAAAATACAATGTTATGCAATAATGTATAATATATTCTTCTGGACAAAAATTCTAAAGATGTATTTAATAATGTGTTGGTTAATTAGCAGAGGTAATGGTTCAGGTAATAGTTTTTAAGCAGTTATGGACTTTGCTGGTTGGAATCACTGGAGCCCTTGGTATTGGTACCCTTGGTTAAATACAGAAGTTGAACTGATCCTTTAAGTGTGAGCCAAGAAAATAAAAGAAATGCAATGTTACAATGTAACTAGTTATTCTTTCTTGTGTGACGCAGTATGCATCTCTGAAGGGGGCTCCAGCTCAACAACAATTACTATTCAGATTATCTTTTATTTTTTTAATATCGAGCTTCATGTGGTACAATTGTGTTACACAACAGGACTCAATAGCAGGAAACAAGTCTAATGAAGCGAAACTGTTGAAACAGATTATGTATTTGAATTGGATGATTATTCAACGATTCACTGTTTCTAACACATTATGATTGTATATGTCGCATCTTCGAATCGCATCTCTTATTAAAAAGTAATTTTTGCCTCAGAGGTGAACGCCATATTGGTTAACATATCAGCCGACATTAGTTAAAAATGCCTTCTCTGTATCCCATTAATACTGTATAATTAAGATCCATTGTAATATTTGTGAAATTTTGTCAGTGAAGTTAAAAAAAAGGGTTGCATTTACATAACTGTATACTGACATTTATATGGAACTAATGATTCATCCATAAATCTGCATTTGACACATTTTTTTTCAATAGTTTACTGAATCCAAAACAAAACACAATGTGTTTGAAGACCTGAACAAAACGTACACATTTCAGCTATATTATTCATAGAAGCTGAGACCTTTTTGGATCTTTTCAAACTACTTGTTTTCATCCTCTGAGTTCATGAATCTTCCCCATGAAATTCTTGACTCTTTCTGGGTCGACATCATTGGCCCAATAACCGCCTTTCTTGAAATAGGAGCCAATGATCATTGCACTTGCATCCAGGTAGTGGTCCACATTGGATAGAGTTACTCCAGAGCCAATGAGGACTGGGATTCTAACCGCCTGCGAGACCTCTGCAAGAAAGTGAGACAATGTGCGTCTGATAAGACGGAAAAGTATGATACCAGATAATAACCAATCAGAATAATTGTTCCAAGGTAATGAAAGAAATATCAAAGCACATTACATACAGTAAAACAGTGCAAAGATCAATCTGCCAATTTACATATGGACTTATGGGTATATTAGTCTGAGAAAAAAAGAACCACTGATAGAAACTGCTCCA